ATTCTAATATATTGTGCCATACAAAGGTGCTTTGCAGACAGGTAGCTCAGAGCAGGAGAGAGAGTGATTGAGAGAGAGAGAGAGAGAGGTTGCTGTAAACAACCTGCAGTCTCCTGGGATGCAGATGGGGTAACTTGAGACAATAACAAAGCAAAGGTGGTTGGAGAAGAAAGGAAAAGGAAGTATGTAATTGATGAAATATTGCTTTGTAGGAAACAGCCTATTGCAGATGATGTCATTCTTTGAACTGATATTTCTATTTCATTTGTTTATTTTGGCAGATCCATGATCCGATCCTCCCCACTCCCCTCCCAACTTGATTTTTTAATTCAGTAACAAAAGTGCTAGCAAAAGTATAGATCAAGTGGGAGGCTATTTCAGGTATAGACAAATTGCATTGGTGGCACTGTGGGTTAAACCACAGAGCCTAGGACTTGCTGATCAGAAGATCAGTGGTTTGAATCCCCGCGACGGGGTGAGCTCCCGTTGCTCGGTCCCTGCTCCTGCCAACCTAGCAGTTCGAAAGCACGTCAATGTGCAAGTAGATAAATAGGAACCGCTCCGACGGGAAGGTAAACAGCATTTCCATGTGCTGCTCTGGTTCGCTAGAAGCAGCTTAGTCATGCTGGGCACATGACCCAGAAGCTGTACGCCGGCTCCCTTGGCCAGTAAAGTGAGATGAGCGCTGCAACCCCAGAGTCGACCACAACTGGACCTAATGGTCAGGGGTCCCTTTACCTTTTTTAGAGCTAGTGGAGAAAGTTGCTAATGAGCAGGTGCATGTTTGGGGTTGTGTCCAACTAAGCTCAGCTCAGAATAGACCCAAAGGAATGAATGAACAGGTTATGCCCATTGATTCCAGAGAGTATGATTTACATTGGACATCAACCCTAGTCTCTCTCTTTCAGTTGATTTATGCATCCATCTTCATAAGTGCACTCCAAAGAGTCAAAGGTCCATCCTGTACATCATCCTACTTCTTCCTAGGGGTGGCTGGTCACTTCAGTTTCTATGCACCCCAGTGCAAACTGACCTGATCTGCACCTCCAGAACTAATCCGTTGATTGGGATGTAAACAAGACAGGACTGAATTATGAGTGAACACAGGCAAAATGTGGATCGACCATAAATAAACTGATCCATCCCTGTCTCCCATGTTCTTCTAGCAAGAACATAAGAAGGCAGGAACATAAGAAGTTGTCTCATGTTGTGTCAGACCTCTGGTTCATCTAACTTAGTACTGTCTACACTGACTGGCAGCATCTCTCTCAGCCCTACCTGGAGATGCCAGGGATTGAACCTGGGACCATCTGCGTGCAAAGCTGAGCTAGGGCACTTCCCCAGGAAGGCAACAGCCCTCTTCCCTGGTGTGTCACTGCCGACAATTAGTATTCCATGACATACTGCTTCTGAACCTGGAAGTCCTATTTAGCTATTTGTGGCTAATAGTTGCTGGTAGATCTCTCCAGCACTTCTCGTCCTTCTCTCAAGCAAAGTTACCTTTGCAAAGGCGTGTGGGGAACCAGTGATAGGGTGGGCTCAATGGGTGTGTAGTAGTGGGTGGGGCAGCAGATGTGATTCTAGTAGGCTATGGTCCAGCCATGCACAACAAGACGTTTCTACACTTGCATTTCTCCATCCAAGCAAGAGGCATCATTACAGTTCAAGGATACATTCCCATCAGGCAAAAGAACTGGATAATGTGAAGTAAGACCAGTGAGGGGTGTGGCCTGAGAAGGAGGCTTAGCTTTGGGAGAGTCCCAAGGGCCAGAAAGAGAAGACCAGGGGCCACATTTAGCACATGCGCCAGAGTTTCCCAGTCCTGCTCTTGAGCATAGGTTTTCTCCTCACCTACAAGAGTAGGTTTGCTCAAGTAGCAAGGAAATTTGGTTGAACTCCCCATATTTGCTTTGTGTTTTAGGGTTCTGAGGGAAAAAACCTATTTAGAATGACTCAAACTTTTACCTAGACACCTCTTAGAAAGCTCAGAAAACCTGAATCTATTAGGAGCCAGGAAGCACTCATCTGTCACTATCACCAGGTTGAACACATCAAATAACAATTCTGAAAATTCTGCTCTTGTGAAAATTTTGCGTGTGCCTTGTAAACAATAGTTCTGGGCATGTGATACCACAGTTCAGGAACAAAGATTATCTGCTAAGATAATGGGAATTTTTAACATATACGGTATGAAGGGCATACACATTTCTCTTTAAAATGTTTGCAGGAAGCAGGTGGGAGAGGGTTTGGTATTTGAAAAGGGAAAGCTGATATGTTGATCTTTTGGAACAAATGAAGCACAGCTATATGCAGGTAGGTAGGACCATAAAAAGCTGTCCTATATTGAGTCAGAGCATTGGTCCATCTAACTGAGTATGGTCTGCACAGATTGGCAGTGGGCTTGCCAGGGTTTCAACCAGGAGTCTTTCCCTGGCCCTTGAAGATGCTGAAGGCTGAAGCTAAGACCTTCTGCATTCAACTATTGAGCTATGGTCTAGCTCCAAGTACACAAACCACATTGTACATTTAGTGATATGAAGATTCTGGAATGCAGATGGTATGCTTCTGAGTCTTGTGCTTCCCCCATCTCCCCCCCCCCCTCCGGCTGCCGCCGCCTCTCTGTTCTAATATATAACTGATTATTGCAAAGTTCATAGTAATAAGGCAACAAGATAAATAAAAACCTAATTGCTTTCATCATATTCTGCAAGATTGTAATCGGGGAGTGGGGTGCAACCTGGCCTCTTCAAAGCATGTAATGACATTCTGAATTAATGGCATCTCATTTAGCAGGCGGAAGAATCGGTGAATATGTGTCACAAATCAGTAAACAGCAAGCTTCATTTATCCATCTGTGTAGCTGCGCATTGAATCCTTGTTGGTGTGTATGTGTGTGTTGCTTTCTCCTTATACACACACACACAGAGAGAGAGAGAGAGAGAGAGAGAGAGAGAGAGAGAGAGCGTGCAAAATTGAGGAAATGAGCTATTGGAGTGGAAGAAAAGAGAAAAGAAATTCTTGATTTTGTTCAGTATTTTTTTTTCTCCAGCTCTGGGTTTATTTTGGGAGCTGGAAGATTGGTCAATGTCTAATGTTTCAGAAAATAACCCGAGTGTCTCAAGCGAACAAGCCACAAAACCAGAGCCAGACTGACATTTGCTAAGGTGGTGTGTGTGTGTGTGTGTGTGTGTGTGTGTGTGTGTAAAAGTCGGCTGTGTGTTTCAGATGAGAGTTGACTCATGAACTGGAGGGTGGTTTTTATGTGTTGATGATAATGTGCACTGACAATGTCAGAAATATGATCCCACATAGCCAGTTTTACAGAACTGCTTCTCCCTTAATGCTGCCACTTCTCCAGCTTCCCTTTGCTTTCTCAGTTGAGAATTAAAATTGTTGAAATACACAGCCAGTGTGATGACAGGGCACACTTGAAAAATTTGTATGAATAAAACATTGGTTTTAGATCTATGTTTCAAATCAACTTAGATATAGTCTTGGAGATCATTCTACAGCATCCAGCATCACAATGGAGGAGAGTCCACGATTCTTCAGAGAACGGTTGGCCTGTTTCTTAACCCAATGGTTAGGCATAGGACAGAATAGGACAAGTATAATTGGCCACTGTGAAACGTGCATTGGTGACCTCGTTGTTAGACTATTGTAATGTGAGGCTTCCGTTGCAGCTAATCTGGAGGCTGAACGATATCCTGTCGCTTACTTACAGAGTTCTCAATAACTCTGGACCAGGTTACCCAAAAGACTGTCTATCCCTCCACTGCCCAGTAACAGCATTAAGTTCGAGAAATGGAACCTGGTTAGTTTTGCAACAGAGCTTGATGGTTATCAGCTCATGGTAATACAAGGGTGGGCTTTTCCACTGTTACCACCAAAATTGTGGAATGCTCCGCTTGATTAAATACAGGAGTCCCCACTGGATATTGGCATTCCATCAATCTCCTTGCTTGAATACCATGTTTTGATTGCTGTTTTAACTGTTGTGGTTATTTATTATTTATTTTAACTATGGGTGTTTTAATGTAGTCATTTTACTACGCATTTTAATTGCAGGTTACTGTATTTTTATAATTTGTTTTATCGTTTTTTCTGCCTTTGGTTTTTATTTTTCTGTGAGCTGCCTTGGGCTTTCTTCTTGAAATTAAAGGAGGACAAATAATAATAATAGTAATAATAATAATAATAATAGTAATAACAACAACAACAACAGGGGTTTTTTAGTTCAAAAATTAAAATAATAACACATGACGTGAATGAAACTGGATTGAGATTCAGCCAAAAGTCAGCTTTTATCACCCCTGACAAGCACTATTTTGCTCTACATGTTGCTTTAAGGAACGCAGGAACAAGCAAAACAGAGATAATATAGGATATGCCCCTTTAAACAGTCGTGCCCTCCCCAAGAATCCAGGGAGCTGTAGTTAGTTAAGGGTACCAAGACTTGTTAGGAGACACCCTTGTTCCCTTCAGAACGCACCAATTCCCAGAGTTCCCTGAGAAAGATTGACTGTTAAAGCATCCTGTTTTAAAGTAGTGCAATACTGCTTTAAATGATATTGAAGATTGGGCCATATTCTCATTCTAAAGCAAGAATAGAGAACCTGCGGCCCTCCAGTTGTTGTTGAACTACCACTGCTGCTATTTCTGAACACTGGCTGTGCTGACTGGGGTTGATGGGAGATGGAGTGCAACACCACTTGGAAGGCCACAGATTCACCATATTTGTCCTACAGAGGAAGCGAGAACTTATTTTTCCCTGCAGGCCTTGCCTTCTGAATAGGGGAGCGAACAGGCGAACCACTGGCTACTTGCTATTTTACAATTCCATTACATTCCAGAGACTAGAACCAGGTACCGTCAACTGCGTCAAATTGCTAAGATTTTCCTGCCAACTCCACATGCACGGTGCCTTTCTAGTGCTAACTAATTCTTCTTTTAATGAATTCCAGAATGTTGATTGGCTTCCCTTTGCACTTTTCCCCCAGGTGATCTGAGGCCAGTTTCTATGCCTACAGAATACAGCTGGATAGGAGAATCAAAAGAGCCAAATATGTTCAAGAGGGGTAGCCGAGGTGAGTGTATGCACAAGTGCAAGCACTTGAAATGTGGATTTTCAGGACCCAACCTATTGCTGTGACTGTTATTTGTTTAAACCGTTCTTGATTCTGAATGTTACAGTGCCGAAACCCACCATGGGCCATGCTGGTAAAGAGCAGGAAATTCTGTTACAACTCCAAAAAACATTATTCTGGGGTTTGTGTATACACACATAAGCACACATGCATACCCTCTAACATGTTACAACGAAAAACTGGGTTGCCATCTTCCGGGGCCACACTCCCATGTGAGTCACATGACTTGCAAGAGATCACAGCTCTGAAAAAGTGCAAGATTTATAGGGGCAAGACCGCAGTGCAAAATTGCACGAGATCACAGTGCCCAAAATGGCCACTGTGCACTTACAGAAAAAAATGGGATGTCCTGGTTTTTCTGGGACAGTTTAGGGGTATGCACATGGTTACGGGTTTATATATATGACCTTTGCTAATCTAGCTCATTTGCTTCCTTCAAAGGTCCTTAGACATTTCACCCAAGCAAGAGCCTCTAAATCAGGGTTGGGAAACCTGTGACACACCAGACATTGTTGGACTAGAACTGCCATCATCCCTGATCATTGACCATGCTGCTGGGAACTGATGGGGCCCGCTGTTAGCAACATCTGGAGGGCCACAGATTATCTGCTCCTGCTCTAAATTGACCTCAGAATTTCACTTCTGTTCAAACTATGCAGTGATTCTGCTTTGTAGACTTTTTGGACGTGGTTTCGGAGGACCCGTGTAATAAATGCAAGAACAAAGAGACAATGTCTCCGTTTATTTCCCCAGGGAAAAGGACAAAAGGAATGTGCATTTTGTAGTTATCATGCCATACAGAGCTGTGGTTTGTTGTGCCAAAGAACAGTAATTTTAAAAGGATTGTTTTTGTTTCTGGGAAAGAAGGCTCTTTGGATCAATAGACTGGGAAGAGCTGATAGAATAGCTGTGTTTCGTTTCCTCTTTGTGTGTGTGTTTGTGCATCTTAAAAAAACATTCAGGTCTAAAAATGACATGCAGTTGTGCGAACCATTGTGGCTTGTGGGTTCCCCTGAAAATGTCACGTTAAAGGCATCAAGAAAGAAGCTGCTTGGGGCTTCTCTTTATGTATCCCCACCCCATTCCTGGTCACAAAAGTTTCCATCAGCATTGAACCGAAGCTTGCTACCTTCTTTAGCTTGTTCTTCCTTGTTTTTTCTCCTTCACCCCATAACAGACTCTGAGAATTCACTTCTGCGATACCTGAGTGATGACAAAATATTGGTGATCCAGGAAGAGCCATTGACTCAGAAGGACAACAAGCGGGATACGGGTCGCAGGTCAAGGAAAAAGGGCAAGAACAGTGGCAGCCCCAACTATCCCATAAGCCCATCCATGTTGACCTCTTCTATAAATGTACGGCTTGAATCCGGACAGCAAGATGCCTTGAATTTCTCCTTAGCTGAGAGCAACACTGTCCCACTTTATCACGTAAGATTCCTTAACGTACATTTGATTTTTGTGGATTGGTTTGTGCCAATGAGATGGGATGAGCCAAGAAGATGGACCTGAGATGACTATATATATGTATATGTATGTGTATATGTATATATGTCTATACATATGTATATATACCCTTTCGGCTTGTCACATCTTCCTGAGGAGAAAGTTCCACAAATGTGGTACCACCACCAAGGCATCCATGTTCCTCATATTTACCAATTGAATATTTGCTAATGATGAGCCAGAGAGTGAGGCCTGTGATGCTCATCTTAAGGCTCAAGACAGATTCATGTGGTAGCCCACTGGGGGCCTTATAAACTGTCATGTTTGCATCCCACCCTTTCTCTGATGAGCTCAGCTCAGCATATATGGAGCTATCTCTTCGCATTTTATCCTCCAGAGGGGTCTGTGAGATTGGTTAGGCTGAGGTTGCATCAGTTTGTTTTTTAAAAGGTGCTGAGAATTGTAGCTATGTGAGAGGTCAACTACATGTTCCAGGGTTCTTTGGGGAAAGTCGTGTGCTTTAAATGTGGGTGTGACCTGCATCACAGTGACCAAACCTTTGGCCCTCCCTCCTTCCAAGATGACTCTGCACCTGCTCATGCCAGAGCACCATTTAAAAACACACAACAGAATTATTTTCTAGATCTTGGTAGCTTAAGGTTTCCTGCACAGCTGTGTGTTTTCTGCCTTACTGTATTAACTCGGCTGTTGTTTAAAGTCTCAAACCAGGCAGGATGTTACCTGAGGAAGGAGTGCTGTTTTATTGTCTCTGAAATGAGACACTGGCTCTTACTAGAGTATTTTTAGAAAACAGTGACAATCTCTAACAAAGGCTGGAGTTTCCTTCGCCCTTGCTTGCTCTGTGATAATCTTTCTGGGTCAGAAAAGACTCAGAGGGGGAGGGGGAATAGATTTATACAAATGCATTGCGGGAAGAGGACCCAGTCAATCCATCATGGCAATGAGGCAATCATGTCACTGGAAGAGCGACAGGGAAATCATAACGCTGGCTTCAAGCTCATCATTGCAATTTACAAGTTTGATTTAACTGCTCCAAAGGTGTCACAAATCTTCGAAGCCTCTGTGTCGGGTTTATATAGCAGCGATCTTGTTGGTAGAAGGGTTAGTACCTTTTGGTGAGCCTTGTGATAATGAACTAGCATACTGTGTCAGAAAGTGAGAAAGCATGGATTGAAAAGAAGCTTGTAACTTATTCCAGGCTTCAGTGTTCTGTTGTGCTATTATCAGGGCTGGAGTCAGATGCAGGGCATCAATAAAGGAAGCAGATCTATGTGGTCAGTGCACTGTTTACTCAAAGAAACGAACATACAACTCAGCCTAGTGGTCTCATCAACACTTCCTATGGAGCTATTGCCATGACTGAAGGTCTCTGCTTTCTGCCCTCTCTAAGTTTCCTCCTCTCCCAGATGTTTCCTAAGCAATCTCAAACTGCACCTGCACACCTCTGGCCTCTGTTCTGCTCTTATTACTCTGCAAGTTCTCAGAGACCAGGGTGAGGGGAGTTTGTCACAGCAGGAGAGGAAGACTCCTGGAATTCTTTTGCAGTCCCTTGACCCTCCTCCTCTGCTTCAGCCTGAACTGCTCCCTGTCACAGGCTCTTCCTGCTCACTAAACCATGTTGCATCCAGAAGCTCCTCCCAATCTTCTGCCTCTGACCTCTTCTCAGTGTCCCCCCACCAATCCCCTGGCTCTGAGCGTTCTTCTGGGGGTTCCCTGGCGGGTGCCTCCCACCACTCTTCTTCGCCCAGCCAGTTCATGACAGATATTGTACATTGACTCCAGAAGAGAGGTGTAGATAAATTTCAGTACCTCCTGTGGATTTCCCATATGGTTCCTGTTCAAAACTGGCCACCTTCCTTCTTTTAAAGCTACTAGGTAAATTTATAGCATTCTCCTGAAGATGACTTAAGGCATATTCTCACAACCTTTGGGCATGTGGCAAGCAGGGGAAGAGAGCTTGAGCTGCCCATGCATGCTGACTCCTAACCATCATGTCTGGGATTCCACTTGGATGTGCCACTGCTGGAAGCCCTCTTGGTAGTTCTTCCGCCCACAGATGTGTGAGGAATGTTGGCCTAGGAGAGAGATCTTTCTCTGTGGCAGCCACTGACTTGTGGAATTCCCTGCTGACAAAGGTGTGCATCTTGGTTATGCAGCTTCTGTCATGTGCTGGAGACACACCATCTCTACCCTCAATGTAGATCCCAGACATGGTGCGTTGTGTGGAGGCCACATTAGAATCCTGAGCCCTCTTTGCAGATATAAACAGCTGAGCCAACCACAGCCAGAGACTCTTAGCTTTTTCTATGAGAATAAGGCAATTTAACCAACCCCTGGGCAGAGGTTTCAGAGTCACCATAGCAAAATTCCTAGTGCATTTTGTGTGTGTGTGTGTTACTTTGGCTTATATTTCTTCCCCTAAAAAAACCACCTGCACTCAACTATCTCCACCTGCTTCACCAAAATTTCTGTTTACGTCCCTTGAAGCGCTTCCACTGAATGTGTTCTGTGCATGTGAATTTCTGACAGCACACACACAAACTCCTGAAGCTACTCAAAATGATAACCCCTGAGACATAATTAAGCTGTTATGCGCCAGAATTCAGCTTTGTTATACTTCATTAGTCCCAGTAAACAAAAGGCATTTAGTTTTAAGACCACAATATCTACGTGCATGAATATGCAACAGAAAATGATGGTTCCTATTTTCCTTCTTTACTTTCTACTGCAGTGTGCAGCTACACTATCACACTTGTCACATTTCATTTTGTCTTTTGCCTCACATCTAGCCATCACAGCGTGGGTAACCATCCCTGGGTGCTTACCAGGAATGATGGGAGCTGTAGTCCCAACAACATCCGGAGGGCCACACCCCTCCTTTCCCCAGAATTGCAGGCACTTGGTTGGTTGGCTTCTTCCTCTGATACTGGGTTCATACAGCAGGAGCCTCTCGTGATGCTCCAAAGTATAGTTGGAATATAATCAAATCTTCTAATGCTCCCACACATAAAATACTCCATAAGTAAATGTCAACAGTGTTGCTGGATCAAGTGAAGCATCAGTCTGTTCCACCATCCTGTTTCACACAGTGGTCAGAAGGATTATTCTGGGAAGCCCATGATGGGAGTAGGAAAGCAATGACACTCACGTCTACCAACAGAGAGACATATCCAGTAAAATACCCCTGTATAGTAGAGACTGATTCATTAGGCCAAGTTTGCCCTGCCAACTTAGTTTGCCCCTAGCCAGCCAGCCAACCTCCCTGCCTACCTCCTTTTTACAACCAGTCTACAGAATGGCACTGGTTGTCAGCATCTTCCTTAGTCTATTTCACCATTTTAGAATTCAGCAGGGAAGATGGAAAACCAGAGTTAGTTGTTGGTTCTCCCTATCATAGTCTCTAGCTTCTCCGGCCATTTGTTCTAGCTCCCCTTCCTTCTGGCCTTTCTGCTTTCTGCCCTACCAGTCCCCAGCGCGCACCAACTTTCACTGTAGTTAACTTTCTTCTTAAGAGACTGTGGTGTCTCTCACAGTCTGTTTTCCTCCCTTTGGATAACTTTCTCATATGGTTATGGATTGAAGATCTAATCCTTGGTGGTTCCTCTTGCCTGAAACGATTATAATTAGGCTGGTCAGGCACAAAAGATGGCAGTGTTTCTGCACCTTTAGTAGCTGTATGGTGTAGGTTGTAGAAGAGGAAATTTCAGATGCAGCAGATGACTATTGTCCTATTGGCAATGCTGAAGTAAGATTGAACTGCCAGGCCATTTTCTAAATATGGAATGGGATGGAACCTCTTGTCTGCCTTAGGCAGGGATATCTGAGAATTCAGAATGAAACAGAAATGGAGTGGAAATTGCCAGTGCTTATTTGTCCTGTTTCCAGGATAAAAAAATAATAATCAATCCCATGAATACAATTGGTATTCCCCATTGTTGTTGCCTTCAGTCTGCAAACAATATGTAATTGATTATGTCTTCCACTCCTTATGCATTGTGTTTCCTTTGCATTGGAATGAATGGGTGGACTAACACAATGAAAATGTGATTTACGTAATTAATTGCGTGGATTATGTAATTTTGCCACAGTTGACAGCAACGTATTGCTGTTTTTTGTAGCAAAACATGAACTGCAGCGGAATGGAATAGTGCTGCATGCAACAAATGCAGAGTGGAATGGAAAACGATGCCTTCTTACATGCCTAGCCCTCAGGCACCAAACGTCTTGGGCCAACTGTACCCAGGTGCCTACTTTGTTGAGTTTTAGGTAGCAACTTTAAGCTGTAACATAGGGCTGCAGTCTAAAAGCCTGGGTGAATAAAACTATCTTAGATTGTTGCCTAAAACTCTGCAAAATACGCATTGAGCAGTCTCACTTACTTAAGTAAGACTGACTTTCAAGTAGATATTATAGGATTGTACTGCTAGCTATTGTTCTAGTCTGTTTTACAAAGCAATTCTCTGTTGGCTGGGTATAGGGAAAGCCTGTGGTGGAGGGACTGCTACTCCCAAAGCTCCACCAGGCTTGTTCTGGCTAAAGCAGAAAGTAAAGGTGGCTTTTTACCTTTGCGTCCCTCACCAATTCCTTTTCTTTCTTTCTTTTAAAAATTATCTCCTCCCATTGGATCCAGTGGAAGGGGAAATAACCATGGCATCTCCAGGACTGGCAAAGTTTCCATTTCACTTTGGAAGTAAGTTTAGGAAATTGGATGGATCTAGCAGCTCCCCAATACCTTTTTGACATGCCCCCAGAAACCCCTTTCTCAAAGAAGGTCCACAGTATCCAATGGCCTCCCAGATATTTGGAGGAAAGCTATATTTTAAACTCATTTAGGACTCCTTTTTGTTGGCTTAATCTGCAACATGTGATTGACAAAATAGTGCATTAGTGGTGGATTTTTACTGGACTATCCAAACATCACTCAACTTTATTAAATGGGATGTTTCCCTAAAGTTATCACATTA